CCAAATTCCTTATTTCACATATAATGGCCTCTGACCCTAATTTATCTTTCCAGCCTGTTTCTCACCATTTACTCTCATTTATTCTAAGCCATCAAGCTTTTTGGTCTCAGGACTCCTTTAATACTCCTAAAAGTTATTGAGGATCCCAAAGAGCTTTTTTTATAGCTATTGATAGTTACTTAATTAGAAATAAAAACAAATTTTAAGATACTTATTAATACATTTTAAAATAATAATAAACCCATTACTTAATATAAATAATACATTTTTATGAAAAATAACTACATTTTCCCAAAAAAACCTTTTTTTAGAAAAATGACATTGTTTTATATTTTTGTAATCTCTTTAATGTCTGGTTTAATAGAAGACATAAGGATTCTCATATCTGCTTCTACATTCAGTCTGTTGTGAGATGCTATTTTGGTTGAAGTATATGAAGAAAATCTGGCCTCACATAGATATGTAGTTGGAAAATGGAGATACGAGTATGTAATAGTCCTTTCAGATCATTGTGGATACTTCTCCTTGATACTACACCAGTTCTGTAAGTGGCAGTTTCTTAAAGTTTAGTTGCAATGTGGAATCAACTTTTTTGTATTGTTAGGTTAAAATCCATTGGACTGTCTGGCACTTTGGATAGCTTTTACCCATTTGGAAAATACTGGTTCCCTGAGTTATTCAGGTTTCTCAAGTATGACATTAAAATATTTTTAATCACATTTTTTCATATCACTACCTGTTTTATCAGAGAAATCTTTTAAGTATTGGGAAGCTGTCAATCATGGAGGATTTAAGTTTTCCAGAATTCTTATTTTCACTTAAAAGCTCAAATTTTATCATTGATAACAAATACTGCCAGTTGTTTTCCTTGAAGTAATAGACTCATTTCATTTATTTTTAACAAAGTGCCAGATACCCAAGTCTGAATAACCATAGTTTATCTGTCATCATTTTTTCAAGTAAAAATGGTGCTCCCTGAAAGGACCCTGTGGCTTCCACTGCCTCGTAACTTCTGCTTCCTTATAACTTATGCAGCCACTGCATAGGGACTGCTTCTGGCGGTTAACTTGGAGGGGACTTCCGGTCTACAATCACTCAGAATACTTGCGAATTATCAAGATTTTCTGTGTGTGTGTGTGTGTGTGTGTGTAAGTTTAGCCCTGAGCTAACATCTGCCGCCAATCCCACTCTTTTTGCTGAGGAAGACTGGCCCTGAGCTAACATCCGTGCCCATCTTCCTCTACTTTATATGTGGGATGCTCGCCACAGCATGGCTTGATAGGTGGTGCATAGGTCCGCACCTGGGATCCAAACTGATGAACCCCGGGCCGCCAAAGCAGAACGTGCGAACATAACCCCTGCACCACCAGGCCAGCCCCACATATTTTTTGATGCACAGATGCAGGTACAGTCATGTGCCGCATAACAACATTTCAGGCAATGACGGACTGCACATATGACAGTGATCCCAAACAGAACCATCTAGCACAGGTGTGTGGTGGGCTATACCACCAGAGTTTGTGAGAGTACACTCTGATGTTGGCACAATGGTGAAATTGCCTAACGAGGCATTTCTCAGCAGTGTCCCCGTCGTTAAGCGATGCATGACTAGCGTGTTTATGGTAGGAAAAGTAAAAATAGAAAAATTTTAGATTGATAATTTGCTTTTATAAGCACCCATTTGACAGCACCTTGATTAAAGACCAACAAAGAAAAAGCATGTCCTTAAAGTTGTGGTGACATTCCAGTACTGCCTTCACCTTGTTGGGGCATTAATAATATTCTGAGGCTGCGGCGGCACCATCTGTTCCAGAAATATTCTTCAATGTGGATTGAGTAGTTCTAATCTGCCAATGACTTTTCTGCCAATGTAAACATCAAATTTATTGCCTTTCACATTAATGTTAATAAAAAGACCTTATTAAAGAAGTTTCTTTGGTTGATTAAGTTTTTCATTGTTTTAATGGATGTCTTTCTCCTTCAAAAGGGAGGAAAATCCTCCAAAGTCTGTCAGTATACTCTCATATCTAGTATTTTTATTTGTCAATAAATAATTAGCAATCACCAGTAGAGGCACTGCATTTTGCAAACTCACAGATTTTAAATGTGCTTTTTTTTTAAGATTGGCTTTGTCATTTTGGTGGGAACAGAGAAGACTAAGAAATGTATTTTTGCCATCTCGAGGGGATGGTAGGTTTAGTAACCTTTCCTATTCGAAGGTCCTGGAATTACTTACGTATGGTATTGTGTAAGGTGCAGAATGGCTTTTGGCTGTGTAATGAGAACATCATGACCACGAGCGAGCGCGTGTGCGCTGACAAACAGCTTCATTCACTCAGTGAAGGAAAAGGCTGTCTGTAGAAGAAATATCTGGGGCCTGAGTTCCCTCTTTCATTCATCCCATGTATTTGGGTTAATGATAAAGAAAACAAAAATAGCATCCCTGTGGGAAAATGTAACCTGACACGGTTTAAAGTGGGACCCAAATGGAAACATAATCCTTTTAGGAAATGGAAATATTCATTCTTTGTCACATGGATGCCACCTAAATTTTAAGAGAAATCTAGGCTTCCTTTCTGTTTATACATCTTGATTTTAACTCATGTTTCTTTAAGCCATTTGTCACAAGTAATTAAGTTGTAAATATTATACAGATTATACAGAATAATACTGCTCCAAGTGCGTTTTGAATTTTAAGCAGCTTACCTGTTTTCCTGACACCACAGTCCTCAGAAAGATGGATTATCTGTTTCTCCATTGACTTTACACATCCCAGCAATACACATGGTCCTAGAGTCCTACAGAGGGCACAGAATGGACTCTGTGTCCTGCCAGACAGTAGACAGAGTTTACTGAGATTTTCCCCTTTTTTTAATGGAAAAATGCCCTAGAAGTTCCTTGAGCTTCTTGCACTGATGGGTATAGAGCGAAGCCTCACAGGCTTCCTTGCTGAGTGTCGTTGCCGCAGTGCAGACTAAAACCTCAGGAAATCCAGTTGTTACACTGTATAGGTGTGGAGAGCTCTTATTGTTAATATCCTAAATCATCTAAAGGCTTGTTTTCTTTCTTTTTTACAGACCTAACTGCCATAATGAATGCTGCATATTAAGAGAAACCACAAGAAGGTTACACGTTTGGTTGTCCAATATTCTTGGATTTGATATGAACCAACACATAATCCTTGTTGTCATTGACAGAACCCCAGTTTGTATGTACATTATTCACATTCCTCTCTGTTGTGTTTTGGGGGAAAAAAAGACATTTTAGCCTTTTTTAAGGTTATTGATTTAATTTCATGTTATTTGGTTGCATGAAGTTGCCCTTAACCACTAAGGATTATCAAGATTTTTGCACAAATTTATACTTGTCTAGGATCCTTTTATCGAGGCAGTTATGCTCATCATTCTGCTGCCTTTACTCCACCATCAGCAAACACTCAGTTCAATAGGAATTAGCATTTTTTTCAGATGACCACTCAACATAATGCTTAAGGGATTTTCTCTCTGTGACAGAACCCAAGAACCAATTCCTAGATACATGACGTTGGCATATTGAAGGTGAAATTAAAATTGCCCTTCAGCTTTGAGGCCATGTATAAAGTTGAATCATACTGTAAAGTACCTATTCCGTATTAGAAATAGCTAGTTGACGGCTTCTACTTCTCAAGACTCATGTTGTCATGTACACAAACTCAGTTTCTATATGTGAAGTTGGTGAGTCTTTTGTGTTACTCCAAAATAAAGCAATGATTTATTTTCTCCCAATGCCGGTACAATTTGAGCTAATCCCTCAAGGTGGGTACGTTACGTTTTAAAGCCGGAGGCAGCAGTGGCCCTGTGGGAACCAGACAAAGCATCGACTTTTAAACATCGACTTTTCCAATGAACTTGTTTTCTTTTGGAACTAGAACTAGAATAGTTAACATTCATCCACAAACCCATGATTATGTGTACATTATTGTTGCTATTGTGATAATAGAGAATTTTATTTATTTTTATGCCAGCTTATATTGTGAGGACACATTTAGTCAGTTTGGGTTTTATCAATCCTGTTATGCTTGTCCTTGGACCATCTTTCGCGTATTCGAGGTTTGTAGTTGAAAAGTTTACTGTAAAAAAAAAAATCAAAAACAAAAAAATGTATTGTTTTTACAGAATAAATTTATTGGAATGTGTACTGGGAGTAAGATTTGAGGTTGTAAACTAAGTTAGTGTAATTTGGCTTCATATATGTAATGTGAGGTATTAATGTAATTCATATATTAAAGCAAAAATTGTTAACAGCAAGTTGACAATAGAATCAAGTGCAGGTGAGGGTTTTCTTTTTTTCTTTTTTTAAAACATTCTCTGGGTTTTAGGTTTCTGGAGGGAGGGAGAGGAGTGGCACCTGATCACTTGCTCCTCTGAGATAATATTTACCAGCCTCAGCAGAGCCTGAATTCACACAGTTGACATTATCTATGCATTGATTTGGATCTCGTTTTCTTTTGGTTTTCTTATTTCAGTGAAGAGCTAATAAATAATATGAAAGAAAATGTGAGCAGCTCTAAAAGCCAGGGCCATTGGCGATGATGGTGATGGGGTGCTGGCCGCTGAGGGTCTGAGACCACAGGTCCACTGACCAGGGCGCTGAGAGCCAGCTGGATCGTGGGTGTGCTTCTCTCATCTAACGAATACTGATTTTCTCAATTATACTCATTCCTAATTCCAACTATGAAAAGGTCATTAAAAGATAGTAGAGGTGCCAATCCAGTTCTTTTTCCTTGAAAGGTACTTTTAATTGTAAGTATTTTGGTTTAATTTAAAATTAAGGAAATTTAATTAATTCATCAAAGGGCCTCTTCATTGTTTACACTAAAACATAAGGAGAACGTAGATGACATTTTGAATTGGAACATGTAACTGACAGATTTTTAAAATAAAAAGCCTAATGACTACAAAACTTTTTCTGGGAAAAAAAATATATATATAATGTTTTAAATTTAATCAGATTTATCTTCATAAAAGGCCAAAAATAATTTTATTAAAAATGTACACAGAAATACAATAGAAATATTTCCAGTCACCAATAAAACAAGTATTCATTAAAGGTAATAAAGCTATCGATCCCTCCTTATCTATTTCGACACAAAAAAATTTTAGTAAGCAATTTTTAAAACAGCAGTAAATAATATACTTTCCTTGGGAAAACATTTTTCAAACAACATTTTAAAATATACTGATGATTTGCTCTTTATAGTGAGGTTGATAATGAAGCATATACATCTTATATGCAAAAAATATTTCTCTAATCTGTAATTGCTATTTTGAATTTTTTAATATGCATAGACCATATTCACTTTTGAATAGTTTCATTTTCATGCTCACTGTCATAGGAGCTAAACTATGATTTTTCACACTTATATTTAATATGTACAAAGAGAATATTGAGATAGATGGTCAAGTTTATTTACATTTAATTTTGAATATATTTCTTTAAACAAATTGTTTCTCAACAACTTCAAATTTTCCTTCAAATAAAGAAAATTTACCCACACAATACCATATGAGAGCTCACACATACAGTGCAGAGCAAGAATTTATATATTCTTAGGTGTTCCTGTACAGGAAGGGAGTGAAGTGGGACAAAATATCAGTACCAGGATAACAAAAGTCAGTAATCTCGAGAGAAAGAAACATGAAATAATGTTTTTATTCAACTTTTTCATCTGCCTTTGTTTTTATGAAGAACTCTGGTTTGTAGATACAGCGATAGGCCAAGAGCTGAGGAAGAACTCCATATGCTATGTTTAATGCTAAAAAAAGGATTTTCGCTTCTTCGGGGACTCTGTAGACATAAGCAGTTCTAGCATGAAGAGAGGCACCGATGTGAGAAAACTGAGCCTGTTGCATTGAAAAAGGGGGGTAAGCGTGAATTCTCTGTTCATTTGGATGAACGATGAGTTCTAAATGATTCATTCAGATCACATTCCTGTGCCCTCAAAATCAGTACTTTCAAACAATGCAAGTCTTCAGCATTTCACTGAAGTTAGGGCCAGTCTAAGACACACAGCTGTTCAAAGTATACCTTGTTGAGTGTGGCTGTATCGTGCCAGCTGTTTTCTAACCCATCCAGTGCCCCATAACCAAACATTAGTGACTCAGTTGAACAGAAAAACCTGAATAAAATCTCAGTTTTTTTCTGATGCGCATTCTGGAAATCCTAAATAGGGACTCAGTTGGAGCTCCCAAAATGTGTTCCAGTAAAAGTGAAGAAAGTACAGAATTTAGAAAGCTAAAGTATTTTTAGCATACTATTTAAAGAAAAGCGCTGAGGACCTCAACTTCATTTATCGGTCTTTCGCTTAAAACTCCTTGGAGCTGGAGCTTGAACCCCTTCATTATGTACTTTTTGTTTATTTATTCATGTATTTTTTTTATGCAACTTAAAAAATACTAAGGGTTGTTTTGTAAGATAAGGTTGTTACCAACTTGGGTGGGGGTGGTTGCTCTTTCTAAAATGTCAAATGTACATGCAGGCAACCTTTTCAAGTAAAATTATAATTTATTTAGAGTACAGCTTGTCAGCATAATCTGAGTTTACAAAACGGAAAAGCAGGCGCTTCCCATTTATACTTATAAACGTGTCCTTGTTCAGAACATGCATTTAGAATGTGCCAGTTGGTCTCTTTTGATGCTTCTCATAAACACAGGGGAAAACTATTGGAAAAGGCTTCAGTGAGATTTCCTTGGGATCCTTCTGTCATTACAAAATGCAACCCTGGAGTCTGCATTTTCACATCTTACAGAAGCTCAAGATATACACGAATGAAGGACTGGGAGTCTAAAGGTGGAAGTGGTGAATTATTAGTTCATCAGGATCAAAGTGAAGAGACAAAAGAGAGTACAGTCTAAAGAAGGCGCAGAAGGAACAAGAATGAGAAACTGTAAATAATTTGCTTTCAATACATACGAGTTAGATTTCATCCACATGAAATCAGTTTATTCTGCTAAGGGGCTAACGGGTAAAAGTGTTCTCAGCACTAGACTTCACCTGACGGGAGAAGGGCGCCTTTCTGAGCAGCGTGTGCCTGCGTGTGCCACGTTTGGAGAAATTACTGATCCACTCTGGGTGCCTCCAGTACAGCGGTGCTGCTCTCTGGAGACAGACATTAAACACTGGGGCGTGTCGCCAGGAGCAGCAGGTGACCGTCCGGCTGCCTCTGCACTGTGATCCTCAGGCCCTGCGAGCGCTCTGCCCTCAGACACACCTCCCCCGCGGACGCCTGGATGCAGGCAGCCCGCTCTAAGCTTGTCCTCTCTGGGCTGTGAAGACAAAAGGCCCTGAGAGGAAAGGGCGTTTGAGAGGCTGCCCTGAGGGGCTGCTCCTGGGGCAGTCTAGGAACAGGAACGGGAGCTTGGCCCCGTCACTGTTTCCCCAGGGCCTGTTTTGAATAACGGTGTTTTTCTGAACAATATAACCATTCTTTTTCTTCCGGACTAGAGGCCAGATTTGAACCCTGGTTTTCAGAAATGTAAGTTTGGTGTCTCTATCTTTATGGACACTTGTACACATCACAAAAATCACCAAATTTAGGGAAATGCCACCCGTACTTTGAGAGAATAAGTAATATGAGCGATCCTGCCTGCTTGCCCAGGGAAACCTGCATCAAAAGTCCGTGATTCCGTGGACTTTCCTGCGCCAGCCAGCGCAGTTAATACCTCACTTTCAAAACAGCAAACTCATGGCAGCATGACAAAGCCGTCACGTCCTTAGATTAGATTGTGAGCCCCCCAGGCAGGTGCCGCGTCTGATGTTTTGTGTGGCACGTATCACATTGTTAGAGCTCAATAAATGTCCGACAAGAATGGGCTTGTGACTGTCAAAATACGAAATGGTTCTACAAAGCATTTCTCTACTTATATACCTATTTTAGTAGGACTTTTTCTTCAGAATTACTTGACAAGGGGCAAAGATTTATATTTCTAATCGAAGGAGGCCTACGTAAGAGAAGAAGCCTGAGCCATCTTTTGTGGTTTCGGTCCTGCTTGCAGTTCTGATGGGTGTATTCACGTTGGCCACCCCTCCAGCTGTGAGCACCCAGCCACAGCTTGCAGCGCACATGCTGTCCACTTTCCAGGGGTCTGAAGTTTCAGAAAAACCCCAGTGCCGCCTGCGGAGGTCTACTTCCCAAGCACAGAGCTGAGGGCCGCACCGTCTGCTGGGCACTGTCCCACCGGCACACGGGTCCCGGTCAGACCCAGAGAGCTCAGCCTGAGCATGGTGCCGGCTCGGGCGGCTGCTGACGGACGTGTGGCCCAGGATTATAGCTACAAGTTATGGATCCCAGAAATTTCTCCAAAGTTCAGTGACGTGACATTGAACCCCTAATAATTTTTCCTCTACTTCACTCTAAATCTTTTTCACCTTAAAGAAATTTAATTAAGAGAGATTCTTTTTTTCCCGAATGGATGATTGGGATGGAAAATGAGGCAATAAAAACAAAGAAAGGTTAAACTGTAATAGCTCTGTTTTCTTATATTTAGACAGACAACCTGGAAAGGATGACTGAAAATCAGTCCTGGCCCCAGAAAGGAGAACTGAGAGAGTGTTATGTGTCCATGTAAATACTTTAGGCAGAAACTAATGACATTGTGGGCAGTGGCCAGGCTGTTTGGCCCATAGTGTGAGTAGCTAATCCAGAGCCGTGTTATCATTTCTTAGGGTCTCCTCAGGTTAAGAACACTGAATCTGGCTCCACACAGACAGCTTCCCATCCCAGCTCCACCACGAACCAGCAGTGCAACCGTGCGTTAAGCGTGTGCCCTCTGGCTCCCTCCTTGTGAAAGCCTGCTAGTAACGGAGCCTGCCTCACAGGGTTGTCACGCGGGCGCAGCGGGTTGATCTGTGTGAAGCGCTTCACACAGAGCCAAGCAGCTGGGGCTCTTCCACAGACAGACACAAAACCCAGCTGTGTGCCTGTTCCCGCTCTGGCACTCGACTCTGCTGAAAACCGGGCTTTTTGTCCTATATCCTCTTGCCGACCTTTTGACAATTTCAAGACTGTCTGTCTCCAGCAGAGGATGCTAAGCATGTGAAGACATTAGCCCCAAAGTTTAGTTTCCACATTAAATAAAGGTGGTCAGTGGTGAGGCACACCAGAAACGAATAATTAAACTGAGATTTGCGTTAGTATCCCAATTATCCGCATTCTTCCTAAACCTCGACCTTCAAATATTCTTTAAAGGTTTCGATAAGGGGAAAAATGTACTAAATTCGCCTCCGGTAGAATCAACTCTTCACAACCAGATTGTCCACAGATCCCCCTCCAGGCCCTTTGTGAGGAAGTACGTGCACCTCATGGCCAGTGGACGGGACGGGGCCTGGCTGGACCCAAGTGGAGCTGCTCCGCGCCAAACCCACTGCATCTGTCCCAGAGCTTTCTCCCCGGTTCCCTGATTTTTAGGTAATTATGTACAATACACGTAGCTACAGATTAATTAATGAATCTTCTGAGCAACAGAAGGCATTTCTCCAGGCTCTTATTGAGAATCTTCTGCCAACAACAACAACAACAATAATAACAGCAAGAAAGAGGTCCACAGCTTCTTACCTGCCAGGCACTGGCCGAAGCCCTTTGCATACATTGCCTCATTTAAGCCTCACAGCAGCTCTGTGAGAAACGTACTGTGATCATCCTTTCTGTGCAGAAGAGGAAACTGAGGGGCAGAGAGGGAGTGACAGGGTCCCTGAGCTGCGCACTGACAGCTGACATGTGAGCCAGGCTGCCTCCAGAGCCCACGCTCTACACCCACTATTGACTGTACTGGCTCTGCTTGTGTTCTTTCAATTTTCAATGATATGTTAGCAGAGAAAATTCTTCAATTGATAGGAAATGCCAGTAAGTGGACCTCAGCAGCCTGTAATACTTTTCAGCCTGGACTCCCAACTTTAATCCTGTGATGAGGATTCTATATGAAAAGACTCTGGGTGATGAGTTAAGTCCCCGATGGAACTCTGGTGTAAAATGGGTCCTGGTTTTATTTTATTTTATTTTACTTTCTGATTGATCTTTGATTTCTGAAGGCAGCAGATTTGGCAGACTCCTACATGGTCTGAAATCAAGACCTAATAACCATTTAACATGTTTTCCATTGACGGTACTGATCTAGGACTTTCTTAAATATTTTTTTTTGCTATTAAATCACATCGACTCTTGGGGGTTCCCTAGGTCTTTCAATAAACACAAGTTTGATAACGTTAGTGGGATCATGAATGCCTAAAGCTCCTAGATTAGGACTGGCAGTTTTGACAAGCGAGGGTGCTGGCAAGGCTATGGATTCTGTGGTGGTGGGTCAGATACCCTCCAAGATGAGAATCCCTCTCATGAGCAAGCCCTCGCCAAGGAGGAAACATCACATCACTCGAACTCGGCATCCTCCTCATGTGCGGTTTGCTGCCGTGTGACTTGTAACCTCCTCAGTCTAAACGCTCTGATAGGTAGGTCCTCAGGCCCAGCCAAGAACTGTGGGAATGCCAGTCCCGTAACACTCGGATTGTACCATTCTTCTGCTGGGTTGGGAGAAACATCCTTCTGACATTTACAGGACCTAGTCCTTAGGCTCAGGCTTCCTTGTCAAATTGGGCAGCGATGGGTGAGCGCAAGGATTCCTGCAAGGCCTGGGGTCTGGCTGGAGCTGCCACGGCTGCTGCGATGCTCCACTGTCCACACTGCCCTCCCAGAACCGCCTGGCCGGAGTCACAATGCCGTCCGCAAGCTTAGCCCCACCAGCAGGTACAGTCTGGGGTTAGTCTTCCTGCTACCGTTTCAAGCGCCTGTTTACCCTCCAGCCACGACCTTCCCAAGCCTCCTGACTCTGACCCTGTCTGCACGACCAGGCCTTTGCCTCAGTTTCCCTGTCTAGTTCTCCAGTTGTCTCCTGAGACTCAGCCGGGCCCAGCACCTGGCCTCACTCTTGCCAGCCTCCTAGCTGATGACACTCAGTGTCCCTGCATCGGGCCCGGAAGCAGGGCAGACCAAGGCACGCGGCATGCAGAGGAGGGCGGACTGCAGGCACAGCACACAGCTAACGAGCAGCTGTCGAACTCTGAGCAGTCGAACCCACTCAAGAGGGACCGGGAAGAGTGGGGTGAGTGGGAAACCCTCTCCTGGGAGACAGGAGAATACGGCAGGGGAACCAGGCCAAGAAAACACAAGCCGAGGCTCGCTGCATACCCTCTGACCCGCTGCTCGCCCCAACACTGAAACGCTTCCTCCATCTGATAAGCCCCCTCAGCCCACAGACCCAGCTCAGCGTCACTGCCTCCCCCACCCTGAGGGTTCTCCAGCTCCCCGTGCCGCGTACGAAGCCTTTCTTTGTGCCAAGGGCCTCTCCACTATAGCTGATGGTTTGGGTGGGAGAGGGCTAACAGTGGACGGGAATATGGGCTTTGGGGTCAGACAGCATTGCATATCCCTGTTCTGTCTTTTAGTAGCTTTGTGACCTTAGGCAATTAACAAGCTGCTCTGAGCCTCAGCTTTTTTTTTTTCCCTTGATGAAGATTAGCCCTGAGCTAACATCTGCTGTCAATCCTCCTCTTTTTGCTGAGGAAGACTGGCCCTGAGCTAACATCCATGCCCATCTTCCTCTACTTTATATGTGGGACGCCTACCACAGCATGGCTTGTCAAGCGGTGCCATGTCTGCACCCGGGATCCAAACTGGCAAATCCCGGGCCACCAAAGCAGAACGTGCACTCTTAACTGCTGCACCACTGGGCCAGCCCCCCACCTCAGCTTTCTTAAGTAGGGCTTTTAAAAAACTCGCAGAGACAATGCTATGTGTTCATCCGCTGTTTCTCCTGTGGCACCTGGGAAGACCATGTTCATCAGCCTCCCTTGCAGCCGGGCTGGTTCCAGGCCTGGCTCTTGAGAATATCCCACATGATCTTTGCACAAGCAAGAAATGAAACTTCATTGCATGAAGCCACTGAGTATTTGCTACTCCAGCAGAGCACAGAGCCTGTCCTTCACAGATAGGTGAGTAAAACACAGCAGGGCTTGCCTCCCATGTAGCAAGGGAATGGGAGCTCAGACTAGCGTAGTGGCAGTCAGGCTCGAAAGAAATGGGCAGATTTGAGAATTACTCTGGAGACAGAACTAACTGGACATAGTAATGGGCCGGGTGCGGAGGGCGAGGGAATGAGAAGTGGAAAGAATTACTCCAAGTTTTTGACTTGAGCTGCTGGGTGCAAGAAGGGCTATTTACAGAGATGAGGGAAAATGGAAGAGAAGTGGGGAGGACCAGAGTCCTATTTTAGATATTAAATCTGAGATGCTAGTGAGACATCCAAGTGGAAAGACTGAGTTTAGAATTAAATTTAGGAGTCGGAACAGTTCGGGCTAAAGATAGAAAACTGGAAGTCATCAGCTTATAGCTGATATTGAAAGTCATGGAAATAAGGACCCAAAACCAGGGCCTTAGGAATCAGTATTCAGAGGTCTGCAAAGAAGGTAAGTGTTAGTTCTCTTCCCTTCAAGGAAAGGACAGGAGCCGTTACTTCCGGGACGCTGCATCAACTGTTTTGATAGTAATATTCTAAATCTCTAATTAACGAAGTACCTCACACTGGAAGGATTAGCCCAATGTATTAACCCGAAATGCTGTCACTGTTTTTCAACCCTGTAAATTCCAGTGTCTTTTCCCGTCACAGTCACTATAGCATGAGTACAATCAACCGCATATGCCTAGAGCTTCTGGGCGAACCTCACATTACGCCTGCTTGAAAAGAGCAAGATGAAGATAATGATTTTAAAGATCAGTTCATTTGTTTTATTTACAGTAAGAAGAAAAACCCATAAAATTACTTAATAATTTTCTTCCTTGTTCATAAGATTGATTTGTTTTGCTAGATGTTATCTTGTAAAAAATGGACTTTGCACGATAATACGGTTCCACAGGTGACACCACCTCCAGCTCGGGAGGAAGCGTCCACCCAGCAGCAGGGCGGGGGTGGGATGCAAGCCCTGCTTCCCAGGAGACCTGTGCCAAAACCAGTCTCTCTGGTTCTGTATGGCACAGTATAGTGGAATTCTGAAATCTTCAAGACAACAGCCCTCAATTCTGTTTTAGTATAAGCCATAGTGATCAGAGACTGGGAAATAGTACTGTAAAACAGCCATGCCACTTGGTCTGCCGGGCATGTGACCTTGGACAAATCCTTTAGCCTCCCTGGGCCTCAGTTCCCTCATCTCTGTAAGTGAACGGCACACCTCCCAGACAGCTACTGTGAGATTTAAATAAAATGTCTACGCAGAAGTGTCTTCTAAAGAACTGTAAAACAAAAGGAGACAACACGCCTGCCCTAACACACGATGCAGAGATGTTTTTCAGAAACTCAGCAATGACAGCCAAACCACCCCTCTACCCGAAACCTTTCTCCACGGAGCACGTGCTTAGTACCTGAGCTAGGCCTCCAGCGTGAATCAGTGTTATGTCGGGCATCCAGGAGCAGCCGGGGACCACTAAGCCATAAAGTGCAATCACAAAGTAAGGGACAGAATAGAACAGATACGCCAGCATCTGTGATGAACAGAGAAATGACATCGTCAGCAAATTAACAGTTAACCTGGCCTGACAAAAAGCACAGGAAATTTTACATTTTCATCTTTAAAAATGTTAATTCCTATTTCCTACATAGGAACACATTTTCTCATTCTTTTTTTTTTTTTTCTGAGGAAGATTCGCCTTGAGCTAACATCCATGCCAATCTTCCTCTATTTTGTGTGTGGGGGTGGCCACCACATCGTGGCCCCTGATGAGTAGAGTAGGTCCACGCCTAGGAACCCAACCCGGGCCACCAAAGCAGAGCATGCCAAACTTAACCACTAGGCCATGGGGCCGGCCCCTCACATTTTCACATTCTTAAAGAGAGAAAATTAATTTTAGAAAAATCTTAGGCTTCATAACTACTTGACCTGGATTTTAGGATAAGCCGCAGGATCCTTCAGGTAGGGCTCCTGAAACTGTGTATAAAGTCGGCAGAGCTCAGCTGGACAATCCAAAGCAATCTGAGAACAAAAACGAATTCATTATAAAGGTACAGTCACATCTAGTTCTTAGGTTTGCTGATAAGGCTAAAAGTGCCAGGTTCAGTCACAAGCTGCTCTGCTGTTTAACCAAAACTCTGTACTGGAGAGGCTCATCAGTAAAAGGGGAGGAAGAAAGATTCTGCAGGTTTACTCAAAGGAGACGAAGCAGAGATTAATCGTGGAGCCGGAAACGGAGACAAATGCTCTATCCTTGGGAACCTTTCAAGGACCCAGTTTGTCTCTGGGTTCCGCTAGCCCACGCGCAGCCGGCTTTAGACGACCAGTCTCACTTTCCCTGGGAGTAACTAGCCAACTATCCCCTGCAGGAGGAAAAGCACATTTCTGTACCAAATTCATCTCAGTATGCCTCGCAAGATTCAAAAATAGCATCCTCCTCTCTCCAGGGCCTCACAGAGAATACAGCCTGTGGGGGTCGTGGAGGAGGAGGATGTGAAAGCAGAGTCCTCTTTCTTGAAGCCACCTCCCATGTCCACTTTGAAAGAGAGCAGAGCAGACTGAGTCACGGCAGACTAGACTCCAGGCCACAGAGAGACAAAGTGTGTCTTTGGCCCATCACTGGGTCCCCTCTGAGTCACCTCCCTCAGGCATCACTCCTCCTGTCCTTGGCCATAAATGTCACCCCATCCAGATAACATAGGCGGACACAGACCAGTGGCAGAGTTGGTAAAAATGGGCCCGAAGCTAAAAGCCCCACCCACCAGGTGTGCACACCCCACATTTCCCTTGTGTGCATGGGGGAGTGGCCATGGCGATAATGCAAGAGCACAGCTGGGGCTCACTGTTGTTCTTTCAACTTTGGGAATTAGAGTAAACTAACCACAGAACAGTTTCCCCGCTCTGTGGTCTGAGCAGAGCCTGCGGCCCCACTTCCTCCTTTACTTCCCTTCCCTGTGCCACTCAGCCTACTAGCCGACCCTCCTCCAGAAGTTTCTGACCATCTACAGACAGAGACAACTCTTGCCACAGCTTTTCACCGCCAACCCAGCCCGCCGCGCGGGCCTCTTACAGTTAAGGGGTCAGCTCCATCAGCTTACACTTTGCTGCCCAGCAGGCTCAGAACAGTTAGTAACTGACACTGAAGCTGAAGGTAAGCCACCATATAATTTTGGCTGCTCAAATTTATTTCTACTAAGAATAAATCACGAAACTGGGGCACTGTGAAGCATCATTGATCGATAAAAATAGTCACATCAGTCATTTATTGAGCACTTAGTATGTATAAGGCGCTGTACAAGTGTTTAATGTTCATCTTATGTAATCTTCAAAACAATACTATTAGGTAAGTACCACTATTCTACAGAGGAAGAAACTGAGGGTCAAAGAGGTGAAGCAATTTTTCCAAGGCCCCGCAGCTAGTAAATGGCCAGGATGCTAACTCCATACTCTGATACCCCTTCCTCAGTCCCGTTCCCCTACTCCTGAGAGCACAAGGATGCCCTGAGCCACAGTTTCACTGGACTCAAGTTATCACCTTTACCAAAGATATTTAAATTTAAATCAGAAACATCAAAGGAACCCAAAGAATGAGACTCTAATGGCTAATTTTTCAGCTGCCCTGAAATGGGAAGGAAGACACTTCTGGGCACAGCTTGGCCTAAGCCCCTGCAGGCGGTGGTATGAACGGCCCAGACTGGACCGCCCCTTTGGGAGGGGCACGGGGTAGGAGTGAGGCAGGAAGCAGGTCGAGGCCTCCAGGCTCTCACAGCAGGGGTACTTTGTTAGTGTGCTAAGAAGTCTGATTGAGAGAGAGAGAGATGTATTATTTTGTTATTTTGATCTGTTATGCTTACCAAGCCTCTAAACAGGCAAAAGCCAGTGGCCAGGAGAAGACCCAGGACCAACATTAAATCAAACGGTCTTCTCAGCAGGTCCTTCGCTTGGACTTCTTGCACGACCTAGAACAGAGTTTGGAACCCATGAGCAGGCCCGGGGTGCCGAAGAAGAACCTGAGATCTACCGAAACTAAACGCCGTGATGACGGGCGACGAGAGAACTCTGCAGTCACAGGCGTCCCGTCACCACCACGTAACCTTAGCAAAACCGTTTTCCCCTCGAGCCTCAGATTCCTCACCGGGGGAAGGAGGGCACCGGGCCAGGTGATCTGGAAGGGCCCTCCTAGCTCTATGAGTCCATGTTTTTTCTTGAAATAGCAAAATCTTTGTGATTATAAATGTAAGATACACTCATTTTAAAAATAAACCATACACCCATCACACTACTATTAATCGTTGCTATATTTTCCTGGATATATATAACTATATATATATAAAATCTACATTTATTTTTCACAAAGTTAGGACTTAATGTATAAACGATTCTGTATTTGTTCTTTTGACACTCAACATCTACCTATATTATAAGCAGTGTCCCACATTATTAAAAATTCTTCTAAAACAATATCCTATGGAAGCACCATATTTTAGCTATTCTCCCATTGTTGGACATTTAGGAATTTTCAGTGATACATTTAATATGATGATGAGCAACTTTGTACATAAATCTTTGACAGCATCTCTCTGATGGCTTTCTTAGGATAAGGCCCTAGAAGTGGGATTTCTAGGTTAAAGGGTTAAACTTGTCGAGGTTGCTATCACTGCCAGATTGCGCTGTCTGCAAAGCGGTTCTGAATTTATGTTCCTATCAGCCCTCTATGATAATGTCCATTTCTCCCTGGCCCTCACTGTGTTTTAACATTTAAAAAAAATAATAATAGGGGCCAGCCCGGTGGCACAGCAGCTAAGTTCATGCACTCCACTTCGGCGGCTCAGGGTCCGCCGGTTCAGATCCCGGGTGCGGACCTACGCACCACTTATCAAGCCCTGCTGTGGCAAGCCTCCCACAGATAAAGTAGAGGAAAATGGGCACGGATGTTAGCTCAGGGCCAGTCTTCCTCAGCAAAAAGAGGAGGATTGGCGGTAGATGTTAGCTCAGGGCTAATCTTCCTCAAAATAATAATAATAATAATAATAAACAGTTGTGTTGTGTGTGACTCATGACATGGACACTCTGCTGATACATAGTTGTGGACCCTTCAGAAGCAGTGCAGTGAGGACCAAGGCTATGGTGACTGTTCGCTTTTTTTTAATGACCACCTCATTCCTCAGAAGGATGTGAGGCAGTACCAGTTGTCCTTGTGCCAACCTGAATTTACATAGCAGGTGTCTCTGTTCACAAATGAAGTGTTTGTAAATTAAAATGTCTTTTAATGGATTCTATTGTAAATCTCTTTGTAAAATGAATAATCATCTTCTGATTATCTCTAGTAATTCATATTTTCACATAGCAGTTTTGCTTAAAGGATCTTGCTTAAGGATCTAATACCTATAAAAGGAGGAGAAACTCAGATGTCACCAGCTTGGAAACCAAGGCCTTAACTGAGTACCTGCCCAGCCGGTGTCGTTTCACCTTGACCCCCCTGGCTGTGAATGGAAGGGAGATGTCCCAGATGACGTCCTGTGGCCAGTCTCCATGTGCCTGGACTCCTGGTAACCAGACCCTAAGGCTCTGTGTGCTGCTTTGAACAGCAGCATCTCTCCAGCCTCCCCTTGGGGCAGCAAATGCATAAACATCTCTGAAAGAGGTGCCCAGTGCTCAAACTCCAGGCCATTAAGAGCCCTGGACAAACCACACACCAGCACAATAATGCAGAGTGTGACAGACAGAGCCAATGGGACCACTAGCACAGGGGAAGTTCCAAAAAGGACGGCCTGGCCAACCAAAGCAGATGTATTCAGACAGATCATCCGTCTGTACCACCCCATCTCAGCCCCGGTAACTACGGTGTGAACCAGGGCTGCAGAATCAACACAGGGACACTGGTTAACGCCCGAGATGCTCCAGTCCACGAAGGCACGGTTCAGTCCAGCAGCCAGTGGGTGTGAGCGAGCCCTGGGAGCTTGAGAACAGGTTACATTTAACTTAATAAAATCACCTTGGAGGGATAATTATAATTTTCTGATGGCTGATTATAGATTCTGAAACCAGCCCAGATGGGAAGACAAGTGTATGGTATGCTTAAGAAAAAAGCAGGGCAAATGCGTGTTCCGTACTTCCCTATTTAAAAGAGAGAGAGAAAGAGAAAGTCAAAAGTTTGCCAAAAGTAAATCAAAGCACAAGTAACATTTCGGATACCTCCCCATCTCAAGTCATCTAAAATTTTGCTATGAACCAGACAATACTTTTAATGAGACCGAAAAAAAGGTCAATTTAAAACTATTACATGTTTATTAACAGGCATGTCCTATCTACAGCATTTTAAAAGTGTATTTAATATAATATCCTGACTTCTTACATGCATTCTTAATTTTCAAGTGCATTTATCAAGTTCCCATAGTGTGTCAAGAGTTAAACATAATACAAAGAGTTGTAAGAAATATTTGCACATGGAATGTAGCCACAAACACAATACTTAACCCCCCTCTAGATCCTTCTAAAAGTCAGGAATCACTGATATTAGGCTGTCTAATTGTTCAAAGTACATGTCTGAAAACTGCTCGAAAGCATTTATTAAAAGGTGAGCTTAAGGAGGCGAAAAGGAATGATTCTGCAAAACAGCTTTTGGGTAAGCTTGGAATTTCTCGGTTCTATCACAACCAAAATAGCTCCTCTATTTAAAAACAATCCCCATCGTTTCAGAAAAGGAAAGTCCATTTTAAGATGAAGTTTCTTACCTACAATGTTTCCAGGCACAAAAACAACAATGCTCATGATGATAGACCCGACCCAATACAGGCCAATGGTTCTGTAACTTTCCCTGTAAGGAGAAAATCTCGGCTCAGCGCACTTGTCTTCAAACACCGTTAGCAAAAGATGGTGCACAACACTATCTTTACTCTAACTAGTAAAGCACATAAATTGAAACTTACTGAATCGAGAATAAGAAATCAAACACTGCTGACCAGACTTCATTTCCATATGTGACGCACCAGACCCTCTGCGTGTCCTCTGGAATAGGATTATGCCTGCTACACTGATCTTTAAACTACAACGTGCTTGTCGCTGTCAGGAGTCCCACATTTCACTATTGTGTACGAAACTCAGGACGTGAAAGGAAAAAGAAGGTTCAAAGAAGAAAAGAAATCGGACCCATATTTTAAATCATTCTAAGTATGAGCAACAGGATGTTAAATGGACTTTCCGTGGCGTCACAGAACTTTGGCCAAAGCTCCAAAGATGAGGATAGTAAGCGACACATTCCTCATGTTCTGCAGGAGCCGCTGGACATGGACCCCTCATCTTCTAAAGAGGCGATGTTGACAAAAAGTTCTTTCCACTGATGACCCCGAGAACCCACCACTACAGGGGGCTATGGGAAATTCAAAAGGAGACTCTCTGAAGGGAAACCAGTGGAGAATACTGTGTGCTTCCTGCCCAGCCCCAGTGCAGCAGCTCCCAGGAGGCCCCTTCACAATGGCCGGGATGGTGGACCGGAGGACAGACAAGAGGCGTCTTCCTCAGCTGGATGCTAACAGAGCCACAGAAACTCTAGCCCCCTGGGCAGCCTCCAAGCAGGCCCACGCATTCCCAAAAATGACCTTGGGAACATGCGTGAAGAGGTAGGCTGGTGCCTAGAAAAGTCCAAAATGTAGCCAGAGCTGTCCTTGAGTTCGTGATGGGGGGTGGGGGTCGGGGGTCAGAGGGCAGGCAGTTGGTCCAGCTGAAGTTCAACCTCGTATGGGGCAAGAATGCATGACTTTCTCTAACGTGGAGCCAAGGGGAGGCCTAGAAGGCAGCTGGGCTTGAGCCGTCCTGAAAGGATGCTGCCTCCTGGGTCCCAGGGATCCCGGCAGAAAGAAGCTGTGGGTGGACCCCCAGGGCAGGGAAGTCACACAAATGCAGCCAGAGAGAGCACTGCTGCCTTCAGGGGTCGGGACAATGCAAAGGTTCCTATGGGAGAGCCTCTGATCCCACACATGTGCCCTGCAAGACAGACCTAGCATGTCATACTAGAGGGAACTGATCCCCAGGAAACAGCAACTGTCAGGTAAGACTCTGCCCCTCTTCCTTCAACTCCAGGTATGTACACACATGTTCCCAGGGCAGCCGGCTGCAGAGTGAGCTGAGGAGGAACAAAAGGATAGACCGGATCCCCCAGCCACACTGCAGGCCCCCAGGCCTCAGGGCTACGCGTGAGCTGGGGAAAAAGAGAGCTTGGAACTGAAATGAGATGGAAGTTCTGAATCAGGACGTGCTGAACATAATCAGCAAGTTAAGGGGTCCGCACATGCTGTCACTGTGGCAGGGGATAAGCCACAATGGGATGTGTGCAAAAGGCCGTGGTGCAAGGACAATAAAGCCATCTGACCTGTCTCCATCGAGCACGTATTCCTGTCCGGGTGCACCTGTCGGTGTATTTGCCTCTACCCGCGTTCGCCTTACACACCCGCTGATGGGCTGCTGAGGCGGCAGAAGCGCACACACGCACACACACACACACACACACACACGGGGCAAGCTGACTTACTCCCACGCGATGGCCGCCACCATCACCAGGTACATCAGATAGTGCGCAGAGCCGTCCCAGTAGCAGATCATGTGCCCATACGCGGTGTTCAGATACGGTTCACCCTGAGGAGAACGTGAAAAAGAAGACCGCTTGACAGACGACTCGGACGCTCCGACGCAGAACACCAGACGGTGCAAGTAAAATAAAACAGCGGAAATAACCTGTGTAGACTGCTAAAAGGAAACGAGTCTGAACGCTCTAAAATTAAACAACTGGTAGGAACGTGAAAATATAACTACCCTGGAGCTCCCAAAACCAGAGTCCGTCCCGCGGGAAGGAGTTAGAGGACGCCTGGCCGCTCGCTAATGCGCTGGGTCTACACAGTGTGTACAGGGGTGCAAAGCGGGCGGCGTCCTGGGCCCCCCGGCTGCACGGCAGACCCACTGAGGCCGAGTCAGTCTGCTACTAAAGCTGGTGGCTTTGGCCAGAGAAGACCCAGCTCCCAGAGACCCTGGCCGGCCCTCCTAATTCACGCTGACCCCGAGGGTCCCTGGGCCAAGTGGGAGGAAAGCAGTCCATCCCCCACGGCACAGGGGCGGGCGGGCACTGCACTCGGAGCCTCACACCCCACCCCTCCTTCACAACCTATGGCACAGACGCGACTGACTCTATCTTACAGATGAGGAAATCGAGGCTCCGAGAGGCTAGGAGACTTTCCTAAGGTCACACAGCTATTACACAGCTCTGCTGCTTCTCAAGAACAGCCAGACTTGTCCTGAGAAATCTTTAATTTTATGAACATGAGACTATCTGATGAACTACATTTCCCTTGTCCAGGTGGCTGCTAGAAATTACTGTCCAGGGGCCGGCCTGGTGGCGTAGTGGTCAAGTCCAGCATGCTCCACTTCAGTGGCCCAGGGTTCGGATCCTGGGCGCAGACCTACAGACTGCTCATCAGCCACCCTGGGGCGGCGTCCCGTATACAAAATAGAGGAAGATTGGCACAGATGTTAGATCAGAGCGAATCTTCCTCTGCTTGGGTTTTTAGTGTCACTCTGGCTCCGCCTCGTTTCCCTTTCTTCTTTCTCCCACTTCGTGCTCTCCTGCCTCGCGTCACAAGTCTTCTAAGATGCCTGAAGCCCTTTCCACATCAGGGAAATCGACCAGCCCATCAATCGACCAGCCCAGAGGGGCTCTCTGAAGCTCCGTGCTCCCCTGCTCCGACGTCTCTCCCCACAAATCAGATCAATGAAATCACAGAAGAGGAAGAAGCGACACGAAAGGCGTGCGTCCGCCCGTGCCTGGCCCACGTCTTTCCTCTGACACTTCTCTCTGGCTGTGACTGGATCACACCACGGGGTTAGTCATTCACACTACACACCTGGCTCTTGGAGCCTGTACTGGCCTCTCCTGGTGGCTTAGTGGCATCTTTAACCAGGTGGCCTGTCCGTGGGTCCTGCACACTCCCCAGCACTCCTTTACTCCTCAGCTTCTCCCCCCAGCCAAGCCCATCAGGCCTCTCAAAATTAACGGCCACACCGCTCAGCTGACCTGGGCCAAAGACTATGGGGTCTTTTTTATTCCTCATTCTTCTAAGCAGTCCATTGGCAACTCCTGTCAATTTTATCCCCATCACATCACCCCAGCAATCCTCCCTCTGCATCACGGCCTAGTCCAGGCCCTCAGTGCCCCCTGGACCATCCCCAGTCTCCCTCCGTCTCCCCTCTCCTTCCACGCCCCACGCTCCAGCTGCCCCGTGCAGACTCAGCAGGCCCTGCTCTTACCATGTCGCTCTTCTGCTCAGAAAGCGCCCACAGCTTCTTGCCGCCTGCAGGACCAGGCCCCACCGCCTCCATCTGGGAGCCGGTCCCCAGCGCCTGGCCCTGCAGACCTCCCCACGGTCACCCCCCAGGCCCCTTCTCCTGTCCTGTCTGCCTCCCAGCTCGCCACTCTCCCCAGCTCGGCGTCCCGGAAGCCCGCCCCTCTGCACACAGTAGCCCCTGCTCTCTGGGTCCCCTCCGCCTCTTGGCTGCCCCCACAGTCACTTCAGAGGCTCCTCTTCTTCTGCCGCGGTCTCCGAAGTTCTCCCCTCGGCCCTCTCCCCTCTCCCCCTTCTCCTGGGCAAGCTCCTCTCCTCTCAGACCTGCAGGTACCAACTTTACTCAGGCAGCCCCAAATCTCTCCGCCAGGACCCCTCCTCAGAGCTCGAGGCCTGCCAAGCTCTGCCAGGTGGGACATCTGCCAGGATGTCCCTGACCGCCCAAAACCCCACATGCCCCTCAATGAACACAGCAGCATCCTTGCAAACCTGCGCCCCAGTTGGCAGTGGGGAGACACAACGCTATTTCTCATCTCCAGTCCTTTGCCCAAGCTGTGCCCTCTCCTTGGGATGCCCTCCCCTCCCCAGTCTATCTGGAAGACATTTATCATCCCTGCCATTGCCATTCTAAAAAAATGCCACAGCAGTGGCACCCGCTCGATGGGGCCTCCCCTGACCGCTCCCGGTCTGTCCTTCCTCTGTGCATTCCACGCCTCGGGAGTCTCCGTCACCACGCCTGGGACACTGCCATCCCCCTGCCACCTTAGACCGCTCCCTGAGGGAGGAAGCAGGCCTTAGGACCCCCGAGTCTTCTTTGACAAATGCCCGTGGCACTGACGTCCCCCCTCGTCCCTTTCTGGTGTCATAGCACCAGCATTCCTCCAAAAGCAGGACGCACGACGTCACCTGGACCTTCCTCTTCCCGTCACCCCCACCTCACCCGGAGTCCAGCTCCTTCCAGCTGCTCAAATTCTCTGAAGTGCGTCCCTCCTCCCTCCTGCCCGTGCCCGGCCTCCATCCGGGCCATCGTCCTGCCCTGGCTGGCCCTGCAAAAGCCTCTGACCCCCTGGTGTCCCAGTTCATGGCCTTGACCTTTCCTTCAAGGCCATCCTTCCCGGGGCTGCCTGCATTGTTCCCTGACTCAAAATCTCCTCACATAGGGGATAAAACCCAAACTCCCTTAGCTTGCACACGAAGCTCCCCATGATTTGAAACACAGACGAAGACTACACTTTCAGCTCTGCTCCTTATTTCCTCTGTGACCTTTAGTAAGTTACTTAACCTCTCTGGGGCTGGATTCATCACACCATAAAATAAGAAAATCGGACGAACTTTCCGGGGCACCGGGTAGCTCTGTCATGCTGAGATGGGGGTGCGGTCATCACAATCAAATGGCTTCATTAACTGCCTCAGCGTTTGGTACTTTACACATGTAAGACTGACTTGAGCTTCAGATACAGTGATGTTTAATAATAACAGATACAAAATTCTTTTAAAGTACCTCATTTATATTAAACACAAGTAAAGGAGAAAGGAAGGGGGTCAGGGGTGAGGGAGGAGTTGTAAGACTGAACTTTGAGAATCGCCTCCTGCCTCTATCCCTAACCTCCCGCTTCACTTTGCATATGAAGAGACGGCCTGTGTCTCCGGCAGGGGAGGGAACACCAAGTATGGCACCTGTTCACCCTACGGGAAAGGATTTCATCTGAGCCACGCGGCCGGGGTGGCTGGCCCTCTGCGTGAGGCTCCCCATGGGTAAGCACCCCATACCTCTCTCAGGTAGTGTGTCACAAACCCGTCGATGATGCCGTCCTGCTCCAGTCCTATGATGAGGTTCACCACGCTGGTAAATCCAAACACCGCATACACTGGAGCAAAGAAAACAGCAGTTGAAACACCGCAGCTCGGGGACGAGGACGAAGAGCTCAGCATCGCAACAATAATTCATTGCTTTTAACAGTTCCCAGAAGATGCCGTGGACAGTCAACAGGGACCCACAGAATGCACGTCCTGCACACACAGCGGGACCTCTGCCTGTGTCACACATCACCCCGTCGCTGCCTCAGGGGTCTCACCGAGGGGACACCTGCCGGGGGGCACAGAATGCAAAACTCACCCGCTAACTCTGTCCCAGAGGATTCTGGCAGGCCGCCCCCTCCCATCCTCCACTCCCCTCCAAGTGGCTGCCCAGGGCCACACCCGCATGCCACCTGGATGGTGGGAACAAAACCAGGAACCAGTGGCCAAGGGAGCACAGAGGTGACCCCAGGTTTAGAATAAGGACTCAGAAAAGAGAATGCATCTCAGCCATTACCACGCAGGCCGACTCACAGTGTCTCCAACGTGTTTGGAGAAATGCTGGGGATCCTAAAGACAGACGGTGGCTGACGGGCAAGCGACAACGGCTTTAAGAAGAAAGGCCAGTGGTTTTAAAAAGAGGACAGGAGATGGTACAACTGGATATTAAAGAAGGAAAGCCATAGCATCTCAGAGAATCTTACTGAGGATGTGAGGACCTCTTAAATGGGCTTAAAACCACCGGCAAAAAATAGCTAAGGAATAATATCTTTTAAACAGTGAGTGGTCAAATTTAGTGCATGTTAGTTTATCAATAAAGCTGCATTTTCAAGTTGTAACAAATCAGTGTATTAAATTATGTGATGGTCTTGGACAGTAGACAAATCTGATGCTAAATATAAGAAAAGCTGTGAACAAGAGAAATGAGAGGAGAGTGGGGAAGGTGAATTCACCGAGAAGGGAAGCTGGCCTCGCCCAGAGCCTGCAGCCAGGACTCCAGTGTTTACATTTTCCCCAAAACAGTAGAAGGTCCAGGTGCCTGTTCCCTCGGACCGTCTCCCCATGCCCCCACGCACACCTTGGCCCAGATCTGATAGCGACCAGCCATCAGGAGATCAGCCATCACGTCTCCCAGGAAAGGGAGCGTTCAGCACACGATCATTCAGCATGATCACCCTACCAACAGTCGCTGACACCAACAGGAGTGTCAGATGCTGGGTCAGAGACAACAGAGACAGTCTCTGCCTTCCCATGGGCCGGAGTCCGGCCTAGGGTCTGACCTTGAGACTGCAGGCTGCTGAAGGCCGGGACAGAGATGAGGACAGAGGGCTGCGGGTGTCGGAGCCCAACGCTGAGGAGCTGGGAGTGCCGCTAAGCTAAGCGTGGGCTCCATGGAGCGGGGAGGAAGTGAGCAGCGGGAGACCAGTCTGGAGAGAAGGGCGGGCCGGATCAAAGGCAAAGGAGTGGGGGGAAAAGGACACGGGCCTTGAACACTGACTGGCTGTGAAGCCTGAGGCAAGTTACATCATCTCACTAAGCTTCAGAGTGTTTTATATGCAAATTGAGAGAAATCAGAATTCTTCCTTCCCTCCCTGCCTTTGCCAAATCCACAAATAGAGAATAGTCCCCACACCATTGACAATAGGCTCAGCCACATGACTCCCTGTGGCCAGTGGAATGTGGGTGGAAGTGACAGTGGCCAGCTCCAAGTCAAGGCCTTAAGTGGCCTCGCTCTTTTTCCGCTCCCCCTTCCTGTGCTCTGTATCTGCCACCAGAAGGGCACGCCCAGGGAGCTGCTGGTCCCAGAACAAGGAGACACATGGGAGAGCAGTGAATCCAACCCACAGCCTGAAGCAGAGTGGCCCAGCCACCTGCAGACTGTGAGCAAGAAAAGAAATGTTTATAGCCAAGATGTGGGAACAACCTAAGTGTCCATCACCAGATGAATGGATAAAGACGTTGTGGTATATATATATATATATTTTCAGCCATTAAAAAAGAAGGAAATTGGGGGCTGGCTGGAGGCTCAGTGGTTAAGTTCCCCCATTCCGCTTCAGTGGCCCGGGGTTTGCCAGTTCAGATCCCAGATGTGGACCTACACACCGCTTGTCAAGCCCTGCTATGGCAGGCTCCCACATAAAATAGAAGAGGATGGGCATGGATGTTAGCTCAGGGCCAGTCTTCCTCAGCAAAAAGAGGAGTATTGGCAGCAGATGTTAGCTCAGGGCTAATCTGCCTCAAAAAAAGAAGAAGAAGGAAATCCTGCCATTTGTGACAACATGGATGGATCTCAAGGTCAGTATGCTAAGGGAAATCATTCAGACAAAGAAAGACGAATACCATATGATCTCATTTATATGGAAGCTAAAAGAGCTGAACTCATTGTAACAGTAGATGGGTGGTTGCCAGGGCCTGGGGGGTGGGGGAAATGGGGAGATGTTGGTCAAAGGGTAGAAACCTCCAGTTATAAGATGAATAAGTTCTGGGATCTAACACACAGCATGGCGACTCCAGGAACAATACTGTGTCGTATACTCACCCACAGGGGCATCTACACTCGGACATCTTTGGTGATTGTGACACCCCGGACCCGAGCACATGTGGTTTGGACCCACACACCGCGCAGCAGAAGGCAATGTTAGCCACCGCTGCGTTTTCCTTTTTCTCTTTCTTTTAAACTTTTTTTACTTTGAAAACCCTATGATGAGACAGTGCAAAATGAAACATGAGACAGTGCTGGAAGATGAGACCCTCCCCCAGGTCAGAAGGCACTCAGTTATGGGGGAGGAGCAGAGAACCTGTACAAATAGCACTGCGGCCAATGACACAGCTAAAGCCGGAGGGACGTCCAGTGGCTGAAGTGCACAAAAGTGAAAGGAAAGTGCGTGTGCCAATGCTGTACCACACACACACAATTGGAACATGGAATGTGAGGAGCACACAAGGTGTGAGACACGGGGACATTCTATCTCCCTCTCTGTCTAATCTGTATCCAGAACATCTCCCACGAAAGACTGGCCGAGACTCAGAGGAAGCACTGAAAGTGATGGAAGAAATATCAACAATCTAAGATAGGCAGAGGCCACCGTGTTACCGGCAGAAAGCGGCAATGACTTGAAATGACTTTCTAGGAAAGTGACAGAAGGAAGTGGCAAAGCCAGACTGCATTTGAGCATCGAGAAGATAAAATCGTGACCACAGCAGAACTACACAACTTTCACATGGACAGTGAAGACACGGAAATTGTTAGAGATTTTGCTTGCCTTGGTTCAGTCGCCAGTTCAAATGGAGACCGCAGCCAAGAAGTCGAGAAAGGACTGAGACTCGGAGGGGCAGCAATGAAAGAATTAGGAAAGACGATCAGGTGTAAGGAAGGGTCATTAGAGACTAAGGCCAAGATGACCCACAGCCTCGTGTTCCCAGTGACTAGGCACAGGTCCGAAAGCTGGACAGTGAAGAGGCTGATGGGAAAAAATGGACTCGTCTGAAATACGGCGTTGGGGTAGCGCTCTCTGGATACGAACAAGTGGGCAAATGAAGAGAAAATTAAGCTCGAACTATCGAAGGAGGCAAAGAGGATAAAACCAAGGCTGTCCTACTGCGTGCGCATCACCAGAAGGCAGGATTCCTCGGAAAAGACAATAATGCTGGGAAAAGCAGAGGCAGCAGGAAGAGAGGAAGACCAAATCTGAGATGGATTGACCCCAAAAGGAGGCCCCAGGCACGAGTCTGCAGAGGTGAGCAGGGCTGCTGAGGACGGGACCCTGTGGTCATCGCTCATCCACGGGGTCGCCAGGAGTCGGAGCTGACTTGACCGCAGGTGACAAACAACTGCACACTTCAAAGTTGCTAAGAGGGCAAATCTTAAATGTTCTCAGCACACGCACAAAAAAAAAATGGTAATTATGTGAGGCGAAGGGCCTTAAGTGAATAACGGCACTGCGGTAATCGCTTCACAACGTAGACGTGTATCAAACCATCACAGTGTACACTTTAAACTCACACGATGGGTATGTCAATTATATCTCAATAAAGCCAGAAAAAGAACAGAAAAGAAACGTTGGTTGCCTAGGACACTGGGACCAGGGGCTTTGATGTGTCCCACGACTGAGCAGGGGCTAAAGGAATAAGAGGCCCAGAGTCCCCGCTCGGAGGCAGCTCTGCGTGAGGAGGCCCAGCACAGAGCGCCCAGGCCTCGGGCACAGCCTCTCTCTAACCACGTCACCCTGACTGTGTTTCTTAGCATCTCTGAGCCAGCGTCTTCATCTGTAATTTGTTGTAAGAATTAAATAAAATAAAACTGGTAGCGTGCTCAGGGCCGTACCGAGTACACAGCACATGCTCCATCACTGGTGCTTTGCTTCCTTTAAAGTACGTGTGTATTTGCCAGGCACTGTTCTAAGCCCTTTACAAATAGGATCTTATTTAATGCCGGCACCAACCCTCCGTGGTAAGTATTACTATTTTCCGCGTTACACAAATGCGCAGACTGAGGCACCGTACGGCTAAGTTCCATGCCAGGTGGAGGGGGCCGCGCGCAGCGGGCTGCAGGCAGGAAGCCCAGGAAGGAGGTGGGACGAGAGTTGAGGTCACTGGTCAGAGCATGCGTGGCGCAGGGGACGGAGGGGTGTCCTGCCTGGGCCTGCCTGTGACTTTCCGCCAAGATGCCCGCTGGGAGAGAGTGGAGCCACAGCCGGGGGAGGTGTTGGCCTGGAGGCAGGGCCACGCCGTCCTGGAATACTCCAGCCACTCTCCCTGCGGGCTCGAGCACCCACAGCTGGCGGAAGGCAGGGGGGCGGCCACGTGCTGTGCCGGGAAGCGGACACGAGCAGGCCCCCTGCCGTGCAGACCTACCATAGAACAGCGGGTCCCGGGGAGGTTTTCTCTTGACGAGGACACGAGCCAGCAGGGCTACCAGGAGCAGGATGAGGGCAGCAACCCCCACCATCGTCCAGGAACTGCAATGACCAGAACAGGGAGGCAGTCACTTATCCAAATAAACGCCTCGGTGCCAGTTTCCTGGCTGTTGCCAGCATTCACCCGCCCGCCTCTGCCCGCGGCTCCAGCCCGCGGAGTTCATGACGTTGACCTGCAGCACTGCGGGCCACTCCTGGGAATTTCAGGGACCAGGTCACCAGGGCCTCACTGTTGTGACTGTGCACAGACGGTGTGTCCGAGCGCCCTCTGCCCAACCCTAGCCTGGCCCTAACATGGCCGCTGCCTGTGGTCCTCCGGCCCCTGGTCCCTGCTGGCTGACAGGCCTAACCACTGATCTGCGACCTCTCTCAGGGCCAACTGGAAACCCACAGGCTGATCCCCAGGGAACAAGTACACACAACTTCCATGGGGACAAGGAAGAAGGGTCACGTGTATAATCAAAGGGGCCAGAGGGTGAGGCTGTCCAAGGAGGGGAAGAGTGTGGTCCATACCTGAGGCCAGCATGAAGCCAGCCCCTCACCAACAGCATCCAATCCCAAACCCGGGAAACCGAGGCCCGGCTCCATGGGGCACAGCCCAGATCTTCTCCTGGGAGAGGGCGTGGCACCAAGGAGACCAGGGGCCAAGGCCCCTCCCCAGGGGGGCAGCACCAGGGCCTGAAGCCTGGAGGAGTTAGGAGTCAAGAGACCCGGATTCTAGCATCCAGATTCTACTCTGCCACTGCCCACCTGTGAGCCCTAGAAAAGTCATGTCATTTTAGTCTCCTGTTTATTAAATAAAAAGCACATCAAAGAAAAAATAGATTACACACCCCTATGTGCCCGGCACCATGGATGAACAAGAGAGGTACCTGTGCTCATGGGGGACCTATCTCAGGGAGTTCTGAGCTCTCTCACCCAGTGGGTCCCCTCAAGTCCTACAGAGACACTCTCCCGCTCACACTTCCAGCACCAATGGGGCTTCCAGCGCTCGACAAAGCAGCGCCTGGCGCTCTCCGAGGGACCACACCAGAGTCCTCAGCAGCCCTTGAGAGCGGCTGCCAGCACCTCTCCTCACCAGCACCCTGCTCGCAACCACAGCTGACACGAGGACTCTCCCATAACCTTCGCCATATGCCCCTGGGACTTCTGGAAACACCCTCCTCAGTCACAGGTTCCAGGGCCCACCAACACCTACCCATAGCTGAGGGACAAACCCAGGCTGGCCACACACCTGCAGCTGCAGTGGGTGCCAGGCACAGTCAGAAATCTCCCCCCAGTGTCAGAGGGGTCAGTCGGGAAGTGATCCATCCAACCTGCATGCAGACAGGCCCCAAGGAAACTGGCCACAGGTGCAGGAAAGCAGTATGCCCAGCAGCTGGCCCCAGGCCCCGCAGAGAGTCACGAAGTGGGCTCTGGGCATCAGCAGCACCCAGATTTCCAAATGCCACCCTAGACCTACAGAATGAGAATACTTCAAGGACGGGGCATGGAAATATGCAACTCCTTTCAAGATAGCTGGATAAGTATGATGCAGAAAGTCTGCCTGAGGACCTCTGCTAAGGTGTATAAGAATTGATACATGGGGGAAGGAGGGAAGGAGGGAGAGAGGAAGCAAGGAGAAAAAAATGAGGATGGATGGTAGATGGATGGTGGATGGTGAATGAATGGATGGATGATGCATGGATGGATGGATGGATGGATGGATGGATGGATGGATAGCTGCATAGATGTATGATGGACGGTAGATGGTGAAAGAATGGGTGGATACTGGCTGGCTGGATGGATGGATGGATGGAAGACACAGTTCTATGATAAGAATGAGGATGACAGTGTCAGTGTCCAGGTAACAACTGAAATAGGAGGTTTCTAGTGGTGCACATCAATGGATGCTCCAGGCTCCTCCTGTAGAGAGGAGCCAAAGGAGGAAAGGATAGTAGAGAAAGCTGACGTGCATCAGGGACAGGATGCTGGGCTGGAGCATCCTCCAGGACGATGAAGGTGAAGAGGGAAGAGATTAGGTGTGCTGGCTAAGCTGACAGGCATTTTAGTCACAAACAGCCTGTGGTAGGTGGTGGCCAGGAGACACCCCCATCCCTGCTCCTACCAAGGCCTGGGGCTCACAGCCAGCAGGATCACACAGATGGTGATCTTCTGGAGCAGGAGAGAGCAGCGCAAACTGGCTCACGGCGTCCTCTCACGCTCTCCACGTCTAGTGGGGGAGCGAAGAATGAAGAGAAACTGGGGCAGCGGATCGTCTCTGTCTCCTGGCGACAGCCAGATGCAGGACCTGCTCAGAACAGGGAGAAAGGGACGCGGCAGGGACTTCTAGGTGGGGGGCGATGGGTAAGTGCTGCTAGTCTTGGGCTGGGGGCGTGGGTGTTGTTCCTGATGCCCTTCCATGAACAGACGCCTGCTGAGAGGGGACGTGTGTGTGTGTGTGTGTGTGTGTGTGTGAGAGAGAGAGAGAGAGAGAGAGAGAAGGAGAGAGAGAGAGGGAGATCCCAACCCTTTCCTGACGCCTCAACCTCACTGGCTTTTTCTGTTTTTCAGGTTTTCATACAAGGTCTAGTAGGAAGGAAGCCTCCACTAATTCAACTAATTCCAGCGGCTTCAAACCTAACAGAAGGCCTGCCACGCACCAGGCCCCGTGCTGGGCAGGACGGTACCGAGGTGAGCTGCGGCCTGGGAGGCAAGTTCTGACCACAGGACAGCAACGCTCACGGGAAAGGCGCAAGCCAAGGGGGCTGAGAGGAGGGAGCGACCACACTCCCAGGGTTGGGAGGGTTGGAAAGGGAAGACGCGGCATTTTACTCCGGGGCCATAACGTCCAGGTGTGGCTGCAACAGTCAGCTACAGGGAGGAAGGCATCCAGCCAGAGGGGACAGCGGGAGCAACAGCAAGGAGGCGGGAAAGTTACTCAGTGAGCGAGGGGCACAGGACACTCCCGTGTGCTGCAGCACTAGTACGGTGGACGCGGGGCGCTGGGGCAGGGGAACCCCAGGGGAGGCTTTGTCATGGTCCTGGCCAGAGAGGGCCTGGCCAGGGGAAACCAGGAGGAGAGAAGTGATGCTAGCCTAGCCAGGGGACTTATGGGGAACAGGACAGTGGCAGGGGGAGCAGAGAAAGAAGAGCGAGGAGTCAGAGGCCCCTGGGATTTTATGTGCAGGAGGATGGGAGGAAGGGTTGGAACCAATTATTCAAAACTCTATAGGGCTTAGCAATCTGCTCAATATGCACGGCCAGACATAATCCAGCGTGTCCTCCGTAAGTGCCATCACCATTATATGGGTGGCTGAGGCCAAAACCTCAGAGTCACCCTCGAATCCTCACCCCGCCATGCAACCCCTCTGCCAGCCACACTGCTCCCTCTCCAGAATCTCCCCACCCCCGCCCAGCCACATCCCTCTCCCGCCAGTACTTCCTGCCCCACTGCTACCTGGAAAGCTCTGTCCCCAGATCTTCCTGTGGTCACCTCCTGCAGCTCAAGTGTCACCTCCTCCAAGAAGCCTTCCCTGACCACCAGTCCCCTTCCCAGTCACTCTCATGTCGACTCTCCGGCCCTTTCTGGCTTGTTCATGGCTACGGCTGCGGCACTTGGAGCAGTGCCAAGCACACAGTAGGGACTCCATAATACTTGCTGAGCTGTCCCTAGTGCCATTTTAGGAGTGTGGGTCCCCCAGGCACTATATCCACAGACCTGTCACATTCATTGCCCAGAGCTGCTTCTTCTGGTAGTTGTGCCCCAAGACTGGGTCAGACCGAGGGCAGACCCTGCCTATGCCCAGGGAGCGCTCAGTATGGAGGGGGGCGTCTGGACGAGGCATGCAGCAAGTGGTGGCCCCAGGGCAGCGGAGAGGAGGAAGCCCCCGCCCTGCAGGCAGACGTTTCCCCCGCAGCCCGAGGTCTGGGGGGTTTGCAGCGTACACACTGATGCAACTTCCTTAGTACCAACTGCTGTGGGAAACATAAGAGGTTACTTCCTCCCCCCACAGGCGGCAAGGAACACCCGCAGGCACTGAGCCTGGCACCTCTCCACTGCCGGGGCGGCGGCCACGGCCCGGTGCGGGGCTGTCTAGCCAGGGATCCCTCACTGAGGACAGGCAGGTCTTCCAACCAAACCCATATGGGCCTCCATCAGCCCCACCCATTTCCTTAGCGCTGAACTGCGCTGCCTCGCCTCCGGTTCCCCATCCCACACTGAGCCCCTCCGGAGTGTCTTTGGATCCTGGCAATAGGATGCAAATAGAGGCCATTAGACAGACCAGAAAACTGAGGCCAGGCCACACCGTTAGTGCCAAAGCCGGGCCTACAACCCAGGTCTTTGCCTGTTGGCTCAGCGCTATTTCTGCTAGTCATTCACAACAGTTTCTAAAATTAATAAGAAACGATAAGCGTGTGAGTGTCCATACATGGAAACGTTCCTGCGAAATGCGAAACGAACAAGGCACGACCCGAGATAACATGGCCACACTCTTGGCTGTGGGTGTCTGTACCGCCCCCGACCCTGCCCCTGCGCTCCTCAAGGGCAGGGGCATCGCCTTATTGACCTCTGTAACCCGGGACACCTGGCACGGTGCGGGCGCCCGGCACTTGGCCCCGGAATTGCGCCGCATGTCAAGGATGCCAGGCTGAGCGAGGCCTCTGGCCCCTGCGACCTCCGGGCGCCTCCCGCGCTGGCCGGGCCCGGGGCGCCCCCGGAGCCGGCGAACCGCTGCCCCGCAGCCGCTGCTCGAGCCCCATCGGAAAAGTTGTGGGGCTCCCGCCGCCCCTCCCACCGCTGCCGCCGCCCCGAGCCGCCGCCCCCGCCGCGCGCCCACTCACTCGTGCTGGGCCGCCAGGTGGTCGAAGACGTAGGTGACCGGGATGGCCGAGAGGGACAGCACGAACACCCCGGTGGCCGCAGAGGCACTCATCGCCGCCGCCGCGCCGCCTGCCCTTCACCGCATCCCGGCGGGCGCCCCGCCCAGCTTCCGGCAGCGCCCGCGCCCCTTGCCGCCGGCCCTGGAGGCGCCCCCGCCGCGCCCCGCTTCCCTCTGCAGCGCCCCCCAGCCGCCCGCCCTGGAGGCGCCCCTGCCGCGCCCCGCTTCCCTCTGCAGCGCCCCCCGGCCGCCCGCCCTGCAGGCGCCCCTGCCGCGCCCCGCTTCCCTCTGCAGCGCCCCCAGCCTGCCGGCCCTGGAGGCGCTCCCACCGCGCCGCCCTCTGCAGCGCCCCCCGGCCGCCGGCCTTGCAGGCGCCCCGCCGCCCTCTGCAGCGCCCCCCGACCGCCCTTTGCAGCGCCCCCCAGCCGCCGGCCCGCAGCCGCCCGGGGGCGCAGTCCCGGAGGCGCCCGTGCCGCCGTCCCGCCCAGGGCGCCAGGGCTCTGCCGCGAGCGCGGGGCGGCGCCGAGGGGCGGCCGGGACAGGTGCCCCGCGGCGCGCGCTCTGCGGGAAGGCAGCGGCCGGGGAGGCGGGCGCGGGGCCACAGCGGGGAGCCTGCCATCGACGACCTGGAGAGGCCCTGGGCTGAGCTGCGGGCCGGCGGAGGGTGGAGCCAGACCCGGGTGTCAGAGCGGGAAGGGCCCGCGGGATCATCCACGTGGGGAACCCTCGGCCCAGGGACGCAAAGGGACAGATGATCCCGAAACCTTGGCACCCCTCCAGCGGGCAGCAAGCACACCGAGTCTGAATCCCGGTTTCAACCCTGGCTGCGCGCTCACCAGCTGTTGACCTTGGTCAATTTACTTAAACTCTGTGTCTCTTCCCTTCTCTATCGTATGCGGATAAACCGCATCACTGTGATCACCGTGAGGTGCTCTCCCTGCACTGCTCAGTACGCTGCTGTCGCCTGCAATTCCCTTTTGCAACTGACCCGGAGAAATGCCATGACTTAGGAGACTCCAGAGCCATCCGTTTCTATACCCGGTAGGGTTCCTGGAGGCCAGGTTACCACCAGTAGCCTCCACAATACCCTGCAGGGTGCACAGACTGGAAGACAAGAGCCCTGCCCTCAGAATCGCGTCAGACACGTGCCCTCTGGTCACCGAGTAGTAGGATATGATTACAGAATATAGGAATAATGCGTGCCAAGTATTGTCCTGCCTGCTTGACGGTGTGTGGGGGGGAGTGGCCTCAGAAAGCCCCCTGGGAGTGAGCCAGGATCAGTCTCCTGCATGGGAAAGGGAAGGGATGGGAGTTTCAGACAGAGAACAGCTCAGGCAACCAGGGGAGGTCGCACAGGACCAGGGTCCTTACAACAGCCAGTGAGCTGAACAGGTGGTGCGGCTGGTTCTAGACACGAGGAAAATGAGTCGCAGAAGGCTCTGAGCCGCTGCAGGGCCACCCAGCTGCTCCCAAGCCGGCTCTTCTGATCCCCTATCTGGTGTTTCTTGGAGACTTCTCCAACTCAGAACATAGTGATAAAGCCTTGGCCCACACTGTGACATATCCAAAGTTTCCCCAAGGGATGTCCTCAGCTGTAACCGGGACGTCACCCTCTTCCACATCTAATAAACTTCAGCACTCTCCTTAAACTCCTTCTTCCTCCCAACAACAAATGCCTCCCCTGAGACCCTTCTCTCCTCCCAACCAATCTCCACCAGTCTTCCGGGCCAGCCCAACCGCTCCACCACCACCCAGACCTCACTGAGTCAGTCTGCCTTCTCTCTGTACCTTGAACCCCTCTAGATACGTGCTCGTGCATGTTCCAGTTGAGAAATGTGCTCCTTGGGGGGCCGGCCCCATGGGCGAGTGGTTAAGTTTGCGCGCTCCACTTCGGCAGCCCAGGGTTTCGCCAGTTCTAGTCCTGGGCACGGACATGGCACCACACGTAGGCCATGCTGGGGCGGCATACCACATGTCACAACTAGAAGGACCCACAACTAAAAATACACAACTATGTACTGGGGGGCTTTGGGGAGAAAAAGGAAAAATAAAATCTTTAAAAGAAAAAAGAAAAGTGAAAAGACACAGGTGAAATTAATTTTAATAATATATTTTATTTAACCCAATATGTCCAAAAGATTATTGTTTCAAGTCATCACTGTCAAAGATATTAATTAGATAGTTTACGTTCTTTTTTTTATATCTTTAGCCTTTGAAATTTTGTGTGTATTTTATACTCGCAGTATATCTCATTTCAGACTAGTCACATTTCAGGTGCTCAATAGTCACATGTGGCCAGTGGCATCTGTACTAGACCTCACAGCTCTGGACTTACTCCTCCTATCATATTGACCTGGCTTCAGATGTGCTCTCTGCTACTGTCAGAATGGGTGTGGTAGTTAAATCACTAATAAACTTATTCAGACATCTTCAGAGACTCCACCATGTTTCCAGCATTGTTGTAGGAGATGGGCACACAAAGATGAATTACAAACACATTTTGCCCAAGATGATCACAGTTTGGTGTAAGAAAAAGACATGTAAACAAGTCCCATACAAGCTGATAAAAGATGTATGTACAAAATGCTATAGGAACCACCAGTTCGGTTCGGAGGAGTCAAGAAAAGCTTCAGAGAGGAGGTGAGGCTTAGACCAGCCTTGAAGAACCAGTAGAAGCTGGCCGAGCAGGCAAGGAATAGGTGGGGCTTTCCAGGCCACAGAGACAGCACATGTTAAAGGCAGAAATGTGTGAGAGAGCATGTCACTTGATGAACTTCAAGTCATTTGCTCTGGTTGAAAATACTGGGGCATCGTGCAAGAGGAGGGGTGGGAGGACGTGAAGATGGAGAGGTGATCAAGGGCTCAGTCTCAGAGAACCTCAAGCACAAAGCGCCTTTAAGGTTTCTGAGCTGACTCGGCCAGAGCAGCATCTTTAAAGCTCTGCCTGGTAGCTGGTGCGGACCACGGTTTAGAAAGAGGAGAGGTAGCAGGCAGGAAGAGCAATCAGGAGGCCACAACACTTGTCCCAGTGAGAGACGATGAGGCCCTGAACCAAAGCCGTGGCAATGAGAGGGACAAAGAGGGGGCAAATGTGGAAGATCTGGATAAAAATTGTGAGAGGAGAAAGCAGGGAGAAGGACAAGATGAGTTTGGTTTTGGACGTGATGAGTTTCCAGTACCCATGGGGCTCCCGGGAGGAGCTGTCCCATAGGCAATTGGGGAAACTAGTCTGTGGCACCAAGAGAGGCACAGGCTACAGATACAGACTTTGGGGTCATCAGCCTAGAGATGTGGCTTAAAATCAAGGAAATTAATTCAATGTCCCAGGAAGAGGGCGGAGTCGAAGAGAATGATAACTGTGGCCACCTGAGGGGTTGACGAGCAGCCCAAGGGCATCTGAACTCAATGGCAGAAGCATCCAACATCCTAGCCCTGAGAGCTACTCCCTCCAAGTCTGCAAGGGACCCAAGGGTCATGGCAAAGCTTTGGGGTGCTGTGACATATATTGGAGATTATATGATTTTGTTGACAACAATTTCAACGCTGAAAATATAAGCGGTCAGAATGCTTGTAGTCGAGAAGATGTTTGACAGGAACCCTCCCCAGGTTTCTGAGGAGGGCACAAACCGGTGGATCTAATCTCGTTCTGCAACACTGCGGTCCTCTGTAGATTATAAAGTCAGTCCATGGACACTGTCTGCTGTAGTCTTCACAACAGCTCTCTGAAGAATACAGAGCCATCTATGGATGAAGAAACGGGCTCAAAGAGAGGAGACGACTTGCCCAAGTTCAAGGGCTAAGAGAGAAGGTGAACTCGAGGTCAGGTTTTCCAACTTTGTCACAATAGCCATGACACCGTAGCCGACCATCGGCAAAGCCCCGTGTTGGGCACCTTAGAAATGGTGGGTGGATTTGGCCAACACTACAGATTTGGCCAGTTGACTCATTGCTCAGGAGGCTGAGGTCTGGTGTTCTGCTCCATGCAGATCAGTAACTATTAGGTTCCCATTCTCTTGAAAAAGAGTTAGATAGGACTTCAAACAAAAAGCATTCAAACAATAAAGTTGTGGCCATTTGGTTTTTATTTTTTTCAGGAGCCTCAATCTTGCAAGCTGTGAAGGCTACTATAGTAGCTGTGACATTTGACTCCAAGCTTCCTAGAAGCGAAAATAGACACATGGAAGTCTGCACACTGCCCTGCCCCTGATAAGAAAGATACAGACTTTTTGTCGTGTGGATTCAAAATAATTGACTAATCAGGAACCAAATCGAAGGGCCCTCCCCAGGCCTGTTTCTGCCACGAAGGAGAAGTGAAAGCAGACCCGCGGGGAACCTGGTCACGCGGGAAGTAGGAACTGAGAGAGAATGTCGCTGGGCAGGGCCTGAGGGTGGCACAGTCCTGCTTTTCCAGGAGAGGAAAGTAGAAGTCAGCCTGCAGTTCCCTCTCAAGCCCCCAGCCCAGTGCTCCACTCTCTTCATGTGCATCAGTGTCCCACGTTTTTATCCTTCTGATAAAAGTGGTGTTCGTGTTCTCAGGAAGGGCTGCTCACTCTAGGTGGAAGTGCGAGGGGCAGACAAACAGATGGATCCTTGGGGTGTACAGGGACAGAACGATGGCCTGAGAGTGAGCAGGGCAAGGGTGGTGGGCCTGAGTGGGGAGGCCACTAAGATCCTGTCTGGAAAAGGGGCCAGAGAGTGACCAGTCCACCCAGAGAAATGCTAAGCTACTCTAAACACGGAGTGACATGAAATACTAGATTTTTCTTCAGTCACCATGAATGCCCTGATAAGGGCTGTGATATTAACACGGGTATTTTGGGGTGATGATGGCTGTTTGTCCAACACCTAACATGGGGCCAAGCTTAGAGCAGATGCTCAATAAATGTACACCGAGGAGAAAAAAGGAGAGAGGAAGAAGGGAAGGTGGGTTTGGGGAAAAAAAAAAAAAGGAAGGAAAGAGAAAGAGTAAGAGGGAAGGAAGGAAGTCTGCAGGAAAGTGACAAGAAAATAAAATGAAGGAAGAGGTAAAATTAATCTGTTAACATGTTTGTCAAAAGGTCTTGTGCGGCCGCTAGATGAGGTCTGCACCATGGCCCTGGGTTTCCTAGCAACCAAAGCAAGGAGGGAAACATACTGTTAGCACATGCACGGTGTCCATAAGATAAAAACGGATCCCTTGCTCAGAACTCTCACTTGGCTCCTCTTAAAGGGAACGCTGTCTTGTATAGTGTGACCTCAGCAACTTTC